AACCAATCACAGCACACACTGGCCCAGCTAACCAATCACAGCACACACTGGCCCAGCTAACCAATCACAGCACATTTCGTATTTCAGAAGGCGGGCCTTCATTTGATACAGGAACTATTCGAGCCGTTCATGCCAGACTGGGGAGAGAGGTGTTGTAATAATGTAAAATATGTGAAAAATAAAGTGTTTTTTGAACAACCTAGTATGAGAGCCTGTTCTAGCAGACCCCCAAAACAAAATCCGGACTTTGTAAAAGAGCATAATAGGACCCCTTTAAGTTTAGCAGATTTGTATCCTAAAATACATTCTCTTAACCCAGTTTATTGTTCATTGACTGAACCCATGACATTGATGGGTTTATCTTCCCCAAAAGTGTAAAGATTGCCACCAGGCACCACCAACACATTTAAAACGGTCTGCTCAGATCTGTCAATCACTTTCCAGCTCAACCAATTGCAAGAGTTTGGGGTGTGGCTACTGTAGCAGGCTGAGTTTGGGGTGTGGCTTCTGTAGAATGTTGAGTTTGGGGTGTGACTACTGTAGTAGGCTGAGTTCGGGGTGTGGCTTTTGTAGAATGTTGAGTTTGGGGTGTGGCTACAGTAGCAGGCTGAGTTTGAAGTGTAGCTACTGTAGCAGGCTGAGTTTGGGGTGTAGCTACTGTAGCAGGCTGAGTTTGGGGTGTGGCTTCTGTAGAATGTTGGGTTTGGGGTGTGGCTACTGTAGAATGTTGAGTTTGGGTTGTGGGTATTGTAGCAGGCTGAGTTTGGGGTGTGGCTGCTGTAGTAGGCTGAGTTTGGGTTGTAGCTACAGTAGAATGTTGAGTTTGGGGTGTGGCTACTGTAGCAGGCTGAGTTTGGGGTGTAGCTACTGTAGCAGGCTGTGATTGGGGTGTGGCTTCTGTAGAATGTTGAGTTTGGGGTGTGGCTGCTGTAGCAGGCTGAGTTTTGGGTGTGGCTTCTGTAGAATGTTGAGTTTGGGGTGTGGCTACTGTAGTAGGCTGAGTTTGTGGTATGGTTACAGTACAGTAGAATGTTGAGTTTGGCGTGTGGCTGCTGTAGTAGGCTGAGCCAGAGAGTATTTAGCCGGTGTGGGAACATGGCTGATGCATTGCATGGGAAAAGAAATTCAGATTCGGTGCACAGAAGTAAAAGTCAAAATTTTAAAATTGCCAAAATACGCAGAGACAGACTGGCACTGGCAGTGCATTTACAAAAGGGAGGAATTTAATGGTAAGTTTGGGATTCAATCGAGATGACAAACTTGCAGAGGTTCTTCTTAACAGGCAAGCTAAACTCAAGCTTATCCCACACATTTTTTTTTAGCTTTTTACTGTCAAGCCCCACGTAAAATAGATATTTTAAGGATAAGAGTAAACACAAAAGTGTGATGAGTGTAAGGGGCAAAGGTTGTTTGAAAATATGCTTTATTTATTTGTTATATATTTATGGTCTTTTTATGCCTTTATTGGGAAAGGACGGTCGAGAGATGACAGGAAAGCATTGGGAGGAGAGGGGAGCGGATTCGGCAAAAGACCTCGAGACGGGAATCGAACTCGGGAACGGCAAACTTCACCTTTAAGTTTGAAATGAGCACATGCAGTGTTATCTGTTCAGACTGCAAAACTAAATGTATTTAAGTTGGAAATGCTACAAAAAATCAGTTCTCTGACCGACAAGAAAAAGAGAGAATCCAAACACAAGCCGGCTCCTTCAAGCTCCTGTAGTGCACTGCACATTCACGATAATCAGCATTGTTTTGCAAACCCCCACACGATTGCGCATGTAAAATGAGCCCTATTCAGAGCACAGCTGTCAGCAGAAATGAACTCAATCACGGCTCAAGAATGGAACTTCACATCGGCCCGGGGCATCTGCATCCTGCTGCCGGCACGCTCACACACGCTCAGGACAGTTACACCACCGCAGGTGTGAAGACAGACAGCAGGAGGAACGACTCACTTGATTGCGATATCTTTTGGCATACTTGTAGACTTCCATTACGGCCAGGTTAGTGTTGAACTCATTCCTGTATCTCTGCGGCAAAAACCATTCAGAAATTCTTTGTAAGTATACAAACGTATATATTTCATATGTACTTGATATTTCTGTATTCTGGCATATTTCAAATGTATAATGCAGGTGATTAGAAGGAATAATTATTAACATATACAGCTGCTCTAAGTATATCCAATCTTGCATACAGTACACTCACGTAAAGTGATATATGCGAATCTCAACTGCGTGATTGTTTATATATCATCTCATAATATAACTATATAATCGTCCTGCTCAAATCTGCTAAATGTGACTAGAAGGCATGAAGATATTAAGATATTATAAACTTTAACATCATGACTTTCTGCAAAGCTACTTTGAAACAATGTGTATTGTGAAATGAACTGGTCTCTGTTTCACAGCTCAGATGCCTGTGTAGAAAACGAGGCAGCATGATCAGAAGTGTGCACTTGGCTCACCCGCGACTCCTCGGCCAGGTGAGCGTTCATTTCCTGCTCGCTCAGCGGCGCCATCTCTTGAATCTGTTTGTAGTAACACTGCACCCTCTTCTTATACTCCGGGATCTCTTTGGCATACAGCAGCTTATTGGTGGGAGAATCCTGTAATAAAGCAAGCAAGCGATTAGATGCAGAATGTGTACGACGCTGCATGATTTGCTCCACTGATTTTGATTGTGATCATAGAGATTATAATGTGTCATTAATGATCAAGACTCTTTTAAAATCAGTCAGGGATTGATTCAGTCAGATGTATGCTTAACTATCAGCAAACATATACAAATCAAACCTGCTGCAATCTTTTATTGGTTCAGACTCTATTAATTCTTGCCAAATGAACACTGGTTTGAACTGATGACTGGTTGAGCTGAAAATATATGTGACCTGTACTCTACATTTCTCCTCTCTACTTCCTGTCTGGTTTAATCCTTAAAATGCGCTCACATTGCTCTGTGAAATGTGCATATGATATCCAGCCATTCCAATAGGAATCTGTGTGATTGGGAGTGCAGGTTTTACTTATTTTCAAGTTGATCACATGAATTTGCAGCGTTGACCACCAGAAGCCTGCTTGGTTTGAAAGTGACTTCTGTGTGAGCTGTGCTTCATACATGACGATAGACAATGGACCTGTTTTTGCTTGCAAAGGTGACTACCCCTTTAGACATCAATGGCAGACCACTGCAGTATGAGATAATGTGACCACAAAGGTCATTCCCTCACTCCCTCAAACCGCTCATTTAAAGAGCTCACATGACTTTTCTCTTTTGATGTCGTACGAAGAGATGCTCCTGTGATGAAAGCTGCCATTTCCATATATGGACAGAAACGTGTTTATATTCTTTCAGCCAAATAGACACACATAGTAATGGTTAAGAAGTGTGTGTGTGTTCTTACTTTGCCCAGCTGCAGGTCAGAGAGAGAGCAGGCGTCAATGAAAGCCTGAGCGATGACAGACAGACAGGCGTCCATGTGATCCGTCTTATCGATATCAAACACAAACTGAGGGTTCTTCAGGATATTGACCCAGAAGCGCAGAGGCAAACTGCAGAGAGACACGCAGAGAACATCACAGTCCTGTCCCAGATGCAAACACGCTGTTAACACTCATCAACTTGTCCTGTCCAGTGTAACTGGTTTTCACCTTCAGGATTATAAGCTATCCCTGTTGAAAAAACCAGCATATGCTGGTTAGGTATGTTTTGAAGCATGACTGCTGGTTTGGGCTGGTTTAAGCTGGTCCTGAGCAGGAGCTAGTTACTTAGGACCAGCACATGACCAGCTTAAACCAGCAGCCATGCTTCAAAACATACCTAACCAGCATATGCTGTTTTTTTTTTCAACAGGGTAGTGCTCGTATCATTCTGTAGATCACAGCACAGCACACGCCTGCTACTTGTTTGTGCAGGGAACTGAATGGATGGTAAAAAGTGCTTCTACATGACAAGTGTTTGGAGGCGAGGACTTGAACAGCAAGTGACCTTAGTGATTAGGGAATAGTAATTCATTAGCAGTGGCAGTGGCAGAGCAAGTTATTACATTTCCATGAAAGATGAACTGATGGATTGTGCAAAATGACAGCGGGAATGTGCATGAGGAGAGTAAACAGAGTTTAAATCAGCTTATCGTTCAGTGTATCGACACCTGTTTGTCTTCCAGATGTGTAACGTGTCTGGGTCGGTTATGCCGCGCTTGTCCGCCTGTTCTTCTAGAAAGTCAAAGAAGTATTTGACAGCTAGCGGTGGTTTCTCTGGAGGAATGCTGAGGATGGCTTGAAACAGATCATCCAGGAACTTCTGCAGGGTTCCCTGTGCAAGACAAACACATTCACACAGTTATTACTGCTCATATTGAGCACTCTTCTGTTTCACCGCAAGCATGATTCAGCATAATTAGTTTTCATGACCTTTTCCCAACATCTACTGTCCCTTTAAAACATACAGTATGTTGACGATGTCATAATCATGTGGTCATGACCCTTGCCGGATTGAGCAAACGGTGGGTCCGGTGGGAGATTGCGTTATATCCTGCTACATCTGGACAGACGAGAAACTTGCACAAGAATCTATTAGCTTTCAACAGCCTCATCTCTGCTAAATTAACCCTGCGTTCCTGCTTCAGACTGTCCAGCAGCTGCTACCTCCATTATCTGTGTCTTGTTGTTATATTCTGGAAGCTTCGGTTTGCCATGTACTTGGCAATAAAGCTAATTCTGATTGGAGGATACGTTTCATTGAGTGGTCTGTGTGGACTGGAGAGGAGGCTCTGAATTGTGCTTCTCCCATTTCACAATCCTCTGTTCCCATGACCTGAGTCTTCTGGAGGTCATTGGGCTATTCTGCACTGATGCTTATTGCTATTGCTCTGGAATCTTGTGACTGTTTGTATTTCCACAGACAGCAGAGCAGCTGGCATCTGACGGCGTTGAGTCGAGCGTTACCTTAGTGGAGAGCAGGCGTGTCAGGTAGATCTCTGGTAACACCTTCTTCCTGTGACTCTGTCTGTGGGACTTCCTGCTCTCTGTCAGCTCATCATGTGGCAGCACCTGAAGACGAACCACAGCACCAAGCTATTAAATCATCAATCGACCAGCTCAGAGTAATTATGCATATCTACTGCTTTTTAGCATAACACAGTCTGAGGTCACACTTTATTTTGATAGTCCACTTTAGACAGTCAACTACCTGTAAATAACTTTGCAACTACATGTCGACTAGCAGTCAGAGTATTAGTCTGCTTAATATCTGCTAACACTTTATTTTGATGGTCGCTCAACAGACATTCTACAACGACAGCAAATTATTCTACTAAACATAACCTAACAGTCTACAAATGCTCTCATTAGTTGACATGTAGTTGCAGTCAGTTGAGTTATTTGAAATGTAGTTGCAAAGTTACTTACAGTTAGTAGAATGTCTAAAGTGGACTATCAAAATAAAGTGCAACCCAGTCTGACAGTCCCTAAGCACTATTTATTTCATGGCAATTACATCACATTTTTTTCTCAGCTGTGAAGATGTGAAACCCCAAAGGCCAAACCCCACAGTGCAAATGAGAGATGTGATTGGTCAGATGTTCTGTCATTTGGGTTTCAAGGGTCGGAACATGTCACTGAACTAGACATGTTTCATAAGTTATCACCAAAGTCAGGATGGATTATGAGTCCTGAACATGACAAGATATGCTCTCAACAGACAGTTTGAGCAATCGAGATCACTGATCCGAGATCATTAGTGTGAACACATGTGAAAACTCTAGTGTGTGAGAGACGTCCAGCACACTCACCAGATGGACATATTTCTCTGTGTCCAGATCTTTCGCTGTGAATCAACAGAAAGAAGGTCATGGAAAAGAAGCACCAAGAGCTTGTCACTGAGTTTGTAGGATATTTGAGTTTTGTGCGTATGTGTGATCGTCACCTCGGCCCAGTGTGTTCTCTCTCTTGTCCTTCATGCTCATGGCCAGTGACGCTCCATCTGGGATCTGCAAGAGACAGGTCAGAGGTCATTAGGGTGAAGAGCTTCACTCGGGGTCACACCACCAGCATTTCATGGTGGGGCACGATATGGGCCTGAATGAGTTGATCCATGGGTTCCACCTTGGCTCTGTCTGAATTAGCCAGTTTTTACACGTTCCGCACTAATTAAGGGGGGGAATCTGCTGAAATCAGTGTAACAACTCACTCAAGAGCCATGGCAGCTGAACGCATGATCAAATTAGACAATAAACAAACAGAGGAGTAAATCATACATTTATGTGACTGATGTGTTTTCAGATTCTGTGCAAATCCCGTTTCCGAGAGTTCGCACACACACTCACCTGATAGTGGAAGACGGTGTTGAGTTTTTTTCTGCCGTCCTCCATGACAGACGTGTCGTCCAGATCCTGCAGGATTCTGCTGCTTCGGCCCTCTGGGAACCACTCTGAGCGGGACAGACCAATCACAGTCAAGCACGACTCGCCTAATAATCACTGCTAGAGTCTGAATCTGATTCTTCATTCATTCAGAAAACCGCAAACAGAGTTTCCTTCATAAACTGATATGCATTGTCATCCTCATATCTTGCTTCTTAAGTTTTTAATATCTACCCTGTTCTGATTCTTCTGACACACATGTCTCACGAATGATAGTAAAAGCACTGCATATAAAGAATGACTCAGCTACTGAGCAACAAGTGACTGCCTCTCGAGTGAGTCCAGCATGAACAGATGCTCGTCACTGAGGGATATTCACCCAGATCAACATCCTCTTCTCGAGGCCACTGCGAAAAGGGCAGGTTCTTGTAAAAGGCCTCTAGTATTTTGTCCTTCACTTGACAGATGGTGTCCGTGTTCATCACACGCACGCTCACCGAGTCCATACCAAACCCCTGGAACGAGACGTTGATGTTCTGGAAGGCAGACGGAGGGGAAGAGAGGTCAGATCACTGCTCAACCCCGTCATCGGTGTGATTTCACGGGTGGAAAGAAAGGTCAGTGGTGTGTGTTGGAGCTCACCTGCGGTTTGGCTTCGATGTTTTCTCGAAGGAGCCACTCCTCGTTGAGCGTGTAGCGCGCCTTCCCCGTGATGGCGTCGATCGAGCCCTTGTTGATCTGCTGCTTGATGGCGCACAGCAGCAGGAAGAACGGCTCGCCGACCGTCTCCTGAGGGTGCGAGAGAAACGGACGCGCTCGTACAGTCGATGAACTGAAGCCAAACAGTAAAATCAGCTGCTGAACTCTTCACAAACCTTAAGGTAGCTGTACATGCAGATGGACATCCAGTTGGTGAGCATCTTCTCCACCACTGACTCTGTTCGGCGCAGCATCAGTTTGGGGTTTTTGGAGGCTGAAGCGTCGATCAAATCCACTAGCAACTCCTTCATGATGCTGGTGTAGTACTCCAGTTTACCATGGAGGGCAATCGTGAGCAGAGAGGCAAGACTGCACCTAAACATCAATGAAAGAATGCGTGCACATCATGAGACACATCAGTAATTGAAAGCATTCACACTGACGCTGGTGTGGATGGAGACGAGGAAAGGCCTGTCCTCCGCAGAGCCCTAACTCCAGCACTACAGCTCATCAGACACACACGACAACACTGGCCATCAAAATCAAAGTGCTGATCAAATGAAGGGTGTTACTCTTGTCTCAAACTGCCAAGATACAAAAGTCAGAGATCGCAACATGAACTCCAACATTTCTCACTGAATTCAGTCAGCAGCACATACTCTGCGCCTGGTTTCCCAATAGCGACTGATCGTACTGTAGCTGTTCAGTGCATTTTCTAAGAGTGATATTTTATTATTTTTAGTGCGATTCCTGACGTTGCACATACATGACTGCATTACGAGATGTCAAGTGCTGAGCTGTAACCATGTAGATTGTCGGCCGTTACTGTAACTTTATTCAATTTGCACTTTATAAACCCCTAAAATTTATTTAGCTATGAAACGTCTACAGTGCTTTTGAGGAACTCTGTGCATTCATTCGAGAGCTCTGCACTTGCACTGCAGGTTTCTTTGGAAGTGATAAACGATAAAAGTTCTTCAGACGTGTGCACTGGTTTCTGGCTTTGAGACCATGAGAATAAACAGTAGTTTGTAGAGCGGTTGTCCTGTCAGACTGTCGCAGGAGCGTTGGGCTGTGCTTGGATCCTGTTATTGTTCTTGTTTGTGTTTGTCTGTACTCACCTGTCTCTTACGGCAAAGTCTTTCTGCTGCTCGAGAGCGTGAACAAAGGTGACCAGGAAGTGTTTGTTGTTGAGAAGAGTGGAAAACAGTGTGATCCCCTCCTCAAGGTTGGGCCGCATTCTATTAGACGACTAACATGGAGAGAAGAGACACATAAAACAGTATAAAGCATTTCTTTTCAAACTACTAAAGGGTATGTATGAATGCATGCAGTGGGTCTTAAAGTGCATTAACATGTTCACACACTACATGATGCCCTTATGCACAATTTCTAGAATAATGTTTGGCATGAGTCATTAGGTGATTTTTGACAAATAAATTCTTCCTCTTAAAAAACACCCTGTTGAATAATACTGAAGTTTCACAATTGCACATGGGAATCACAACGATAATTTCCCAACTGTGCAAAACAATTCTTCAAACATTTTGAAACTTATAGCTCAGCCAAAATCTCTGTGCATGAGGAACAAAATTAGACTAATAAAAGAAAGTCTACTGACAGTAAACAAGAGCTTCCTCAGAAGATGGCGAAAAATACTCCATCACTGTTAACGGCATAGTTCGCCCAAAAATGAAAATTCTGTCATTAATTACTCACCTTCATGTTGTTCCACACCTGTAAGACCTTCGTTCATCACAGGAGTATCAGGATGCATGCGTGTGCATTCCTCGGATTGTAAACAAGCCGCAGCACATGCGTGTTCTACGTCAGAGTATTACGCCTGATACTCTCATGAACGCCAAGAGAAGAAATTGTTGAATAAAGTCGTTATTTTTGTGAATGCTGATATCAGTGTCTGTTCATATTAAGAAATCCCTACAATATCTTAATTTGTGTTCTGAAGATGAACAAAGCTCTTCTGGTTTGGAATGACATGAGGGTGAGTAATTAATGACAGAATTATCATTTTTGGGTGAACGAATCTGCTGAATCTGTGCTTTACTGCAAACACACACAACCTACATGAACCGTGGTATAATGAGCCGACAGGACAACATTCAGGAGTGTTTCTGGACTGATTGTAGTATGTGTGCATCTCACCTGCCAGTCCTGCAGCAGAGGATGCGTTTCAGACAGAGCTCGCGGGCCGAGAGGATTGTTCTCATACACCGGCTGAACCAGACACCTCTCGTAGTCAGAGCACATCTGCACGAACACACACAGGCCACACAAGAGCATTCTGACATCAACAAAACCAATGACGTTAAACATGTTCAGTTCCCTTAAAGGAGACATATTATTCCCCTTTTTACAATATGTAATAAGTCTCTGGTGTCCCCAGAATGTGTCTGAAGTTTCAGCTCAAAATACTCCACAGATCATTTGTTATATCATTTTGAAAATGCCTATTTTGATAAAGTCGTTATTTTTGTTTTCTTTGCGCACAAAAAGTATTCTGGTAGCTTCATAACATTACGGTTGAAACACTGATGTCACATGGACTATTTTAATGATGTCCTCACTGCCTTTCTGGGCCTTGAACGTTTCAGTTCCCTTGCTGTCTATGCAGTGTCAGAAAGCTCTCGGATTTCATCAAAATATCTTAATTTGTGTTCTGAAGATGAACAAAGCTCTTCTGGTTTGGAATGACATGAGGGTGAGTAATTAATGACAGAATTATCATTTTTGGGTGAACGAATCTGCTGAATCTGTGCTTTACTGCAAACACACACAACCTACATGAACCGTGGTATAATGAGCCGACAGGACAACATTCAGGAGTGTTTCTGGACTGATTGTAGTATGTGTGCATCTCACCTGCCAGTCCTGCAGCAGAGGATGCGTTTCAGACAGAGCTCGCGGGCCGAGAGGATTGTTCTCATACACCGGCTGAACCAGACACCTCTCGTAGTCAGAGCACATCTGCACGAACACACACAGGCCACACAAGAGCATTCTGACATCAACAAAACCAATGACGTTAAACATGTTCAGTTCCCTTAAAGGAGACATATTATTCCCCTTTTTACAATATGTAATAAGTCTCTGGTGTCCCCAGAATGTGTCTGAAGTTTCAGCTCAAAATACTCCACAGATCATTTGTTATATCATTTTGAAAATGCCTATTTTGAGTGGAAGCAGAAACACGCTGTTTTTCGTGCCTGTCTCTTTAAATGCAA